GGAGAATGCTGTGGGAGACAGTGTCAAAGGAGGTGCCAGGTAGATGACCACAGCCATCCCCTCGTTGTCTAGGTGGGTCACCTGGTCATAGAAGGAGATCCGTTTGGTTAAGAAGGACCTGCCCTTCATGAACCTATGCTGGCTGGGCCTGAGTCCCTGGTTGTCCTGCACCTGCCGTGTGAACCGAGGTCAGGCTGACAAGCCTGTAGTTCCCTGGATCCTCCTTCTGGCCCTTCTTGTAGATGGGTGTCACATTGTTAAGCCTCCAGTCATGAGGCCTCCCCTGTTGACCAGGACTTCTGATAAATAATGGAGAGATTTTCCATGACGGAGATGACTTTTATCCTAGCCAGTGAATCTTTGTGCACTCGTTCTGTATTTATGGATGATTAGGTTAATAAATCTCTGAAAAGGTAAAATTTGAATGGTATCTTTGAGATCCATTTTAGTAAAGAATCTACAGCTTCTCTAGCTGCTAAATTTTTCCTCTAACTGACAGAATGGCATTGACTTCCCTCAAGTATTACAGTTATTGATGTATATGCAAGGACTGATACTACTTAGAAGCCGAACTTGTGTTTTTAAACTTCAGAGTTGCTTAAATTTGTTTTGAGGTGAAGATGAAAGAAGTATAAAACCTTTGAAAAACCTTTTATAATTACTCACAAGTTCCTAGTAGAATTGGTGAGAATCTTGTTTGTTTGGAATTTTCAGCATGTATTTGTAATGTTCTCAGAAATGTGTCATGGATGTGTATATATGAGAATCCTGGAGCAATAATAATCAGGAATACTGAAGCTAATATGTTTCCATCATTGAAGCTGAATTTGACCTTTTTAAAGTGGAACACACTTTTTTCCTTGAGTTTCTGGAATAGAAACTGCTGCAACATCAATTCTGTGAAAAGATAAGAAATAAGAAAAAATAAGAAGTTATTTCTGGTACTTGTTTGAAAGCTTTACTGAGGAATTTCTGTGAGATTTTCCAAATGTGGTCATTGTTTTAGAAATGTTAAGGACTTTTCTGCTGCTTGTACTACTGGCTGCACCTTCTTCTGGGACTATGGGTGACACTGTAGGACTGTAATGCAGAGCTAGAGACTAGACCATCCTGAGTTACAGTGGCGTAATTTAGTCTGCAGTCATGGAGGGCATACTGATGTCTACCCCTTTCCTGAAAAATAACTTACTGCTATCTACTAGCTGCAAGTTGTGCCCAGTACTTCTTGGCCTTTCACTGTACACCTCTGACAAGAGCCTGTCCCTGTTTCCGCTGTGCTCTCCCGTAAAGAACTAAGATCCACCCTGAGCCTTTTCTGCATGAGACTGAACCAACCAGTGCAGGAGGAGCTGGGGTGCTCTGTGTATGGGACAGCTCGCGTTTCCACTGGGGCTCAGAGAAAGAGGAAACCAGAAAGTGCCACTGGAAAGGGACTCTGAGAGAAGCTGTGGACAGCAGAAAAGACTGTAATATTTTTAAATTTGGGGCCTTGTCTCAGGTTTCTGTTAAGGTAAGGGTTATGGTTAGAGTTGAGAGGAAGCGCAGAGCTGTGTTTGGAGTGGGGCTGGAAAGGGGTTGCCAAAGGAAACTGAGGGCTGCAAAATCAGTTCTCCCCTGAGATATTTGTAGTCTGGGAAAGTGCTCGCCAAGAGTTTGTTGTATTGTAAATAGAACATTCCTCCTGATTCTATGATTAAACATTGGAAACGAAGTCCAGATTCCTTGATTCTGAAACTTTCTCTTTTACAAAAAACTTTCTGTGGGACCTATGGTAAGACAGGTGCCTTCATTCAAAGAAGTTATGTTCTTCAAATACAAGGTGCTGTACTATTCAAAGTCGTGTTGTTCTTGTATTGAAAAGCAATAGAAAAAAAGAAGCAGGCACTGTGTGATAAGTTGTGCTCTTCTATTTTTATTTGTTCCTATCTATAGATATGCAAGGTTTGTCTCCGCTGGATGGGGCTAGCTGTGTGGTGATGAATGCTGCCTCAGGTCAGTGGCAGAGTTACCATTGTGGGACTCCACTTCCATATATTTGCAAGAAGTCACTCAATGAAGTTCCAAGCCTCCCAGGTAGGACAGATTGCATTTTTGGTTTTGTGTGTTAATAGGAGTGTAATGTTCACTTATGGAGTGTTTGGTTTTGTGGGTTTTTTTTTTTTTCTTTCCCCTCCCCAAGCTTCTTAGGCATCTCTGCCAAAACACTTTCACAACAGCTTTGGGTTTTTTAGCAGAGCAGAAGCAAACTCTGTATCTTCAGTGTCAAACAGCTTTCATTTTTTGCAGCTTTCTCATTCACATGTAAAGCATTTCCCAGCACAGTTCTGCCCTTTTCATCACGTTTTCTTCCATGGCTTGTGCCTCCTTTCATATGCTGCTGAAAGTCTGGAACTGGCAGTTGCACCTCAAACCTTTCCATCTCTGCTTAAGCCCGTTTCTTTCTCTTTTGGTGTGTATTGATGTAAAATGGGACCTACCTGGGGCTTGGACCAGCTTCTATTGAATTCAGGTAGAAGTAGTTAAATGACCTTACTATCCTTTGAAACCAGGCCCAGCACTGGAAATCAAGAGTGCAAGAGTTGGTAGCTTGCCCAGTGTATAATCTTTACTGGATCCATAATAGCTCTTACAAGATATTTATTCTCTCCTCCCTACATTCAGTCCTTCAATTTTCACAGTCTCCAGCTATAACACGTAACTGCCTCCATGCTTTGACCATTTACCTACACCTGGATGTCCAACCCTTCCCATACCCATGGCCTATTCTTCCATGTGTACCTTGGCCTTACCCAGTTTCCAGGGTTTGTGCTTGTGGGGCTCTCATGGGAAAACTTTTGCTGGAAAATTATTGTTCTTGGATGAGGGTGAGGACTAGGGGATAAGAGGGATGAAGCAGTGTCATGGAGGTGGAAAGTGTCATGGAGTATCTCTGGCTAAGGCATGTTCTCTGCAGCTCCCCCAAGAGAGATGTGTGCCTTTGAGGAAAAAAAGGCAGTTTAACTGAACTGGTTTAAATTTTTAAATGGTCCCTTGAAAACTAGTTGTCAATTAACCGTCCTTATCTGTTCTCTGGCTCCTCAGTGGGGTATGTGGAGTGATTACTGCTGTTTATACCGTATTTTATTAATTAAAAAACCCAAAATTCTTGTGACTGGAGTGTTTTGTAGTGTGTTTTGAACCAGAAAGGCTATTAGTATATACCTTTTTCAGCATGCATTAAAGCCACTTTTAATTCTTGAATATCTTAGTTTTCAGAAGAAAAAGATATTTAAAACTAATAATTTGTTTTATTGCAAGCTATTCAAAATTGGTCTTATGCGTGGTACTGCCTGTAGATAGTCACTATAAAAGTGCAAACCCCTGCTAGAACAAAACAAGCAACTTTTTTTGAAGCTGCTGTCCTACAGTGAAGTAACTTGGTTTGCATTTAATTGCTTTTGAAATCTTGCTTACAATTACTCCTGAACCTTTCACTTGCACTAAAACAAGCTTAATGTAATGCATTCCAGCTTTTTACTTTCACTCCAACTAACTTCTTTCTCCTTCTGCCTACTTCGTGGCCCTAAAGTATTACGAAACCCTGTAATGGTGCTCAGTCATGTCTTATTTGCTTGACTAAACTGTGACCTGCTTGACTAAACATTAGCCTTGAAGAGATGTGAACACATTCTGATCACTGCATTCTGACTGTTTTCAAGGTGCTGCCAGATTTAGAACACAAAGAAAATGCCAAACCGTTGCACTAGCCAACATAAAACAAAAGCCTCTAATTCAGTTTCTCTTCACTGTTAGAGTTTTGGAGACACTTGGATACTCGCTGTGATTCAGGCTGGCTTCCCCACAATGGTTTTTGCTACATGCTGGTAAACAACCAGGCACCTTGGAGTACGGCAGATGAGTTGTGCAAAGCAAGTAAGAGTAACCTCATCAGCATACACTCATTAGCAGATGTCGAAGTGGTTGTTACAAAGCTTCATAATGGTGAGTTGGGATACTTGTAAAGGTCAAGCACCAAGTGTAGCATAAATTACAAACCATCTTCTAGCCTGCGATTGCCATAACCTCTAGCTTTTGAATGAAGGTGCTAATGCTCAGCTTGTACCCAGGCTAGTGCTGAGTGTTGCTGTTCAGGTCGAGGCCCTCTGTGTTAGCTCTTGTTTTGATTTGATCTATTTTATTTATTCATTTATTTATTTACGGGGCTAACCTACTTTTAGTTGCCTAATACCTTGTGGTTAATTTTCCCATTCAAATAGAATCATAAATAGTTTGGTCAGTATTTTGACTAAGGGGTCACTGAACTCATAAATGTTATCTGTACTCTTTGGTCTTACGTTTTGTCTGCACTCTAAAAATTAAATTTGGTTGAGCTTTTTTGCTTGTGTGTTCATTATTTCTCGTTTTTTTTTCTGTTCGTTACCTTCTCTGTGAAACTTAGTCATATTCGCAAATATAAGTTAAGAAACAAGGTAAAGAAAATACATTGTGCTTGTCTCAAATCCACTTTCTCAATATAAGAAAAAAATTGCCCCACTCATGCTGTGCAGTATAGTGACAAGAACCTAATTTTGCAGATTTCACTTTCCTTTCCAATTAGTTTGAATATTATTTTTAAACTACAGTGTTGTCATAATTTTAAATTACAGGTGCTAAAGAAGAAATGTGGATGGGTCTCAGGAATGAAGATGTACCAACCTTATTCAAATGGTCAGATCACTCAGCTGTGAATTTTACATATTGGGATCAGAATCAACCAAGAGTTCCTTTTAACAGCACTCCTAACTGTGTGTCATACTCAGGAGAGGTAGGAATAGTGTTGGGTTTTTTATTTTATTTTTTTTCCATCATAGTAGAGGCAACATTGATGTGTGTGAAAGTCAAGGAGCGGGATAAAGCAGATAACTGATTTCTGGAATAATCTGTAAAATACAGATAATTGTTTTACAAGCAAATTGTTTAGCTGACGCTTGATAGCAGCGTATTGCAAAGAATGGCAGAAGTTGCTCACAGCTCTGAGGCTGCCACTGCTGTTGGCCAGCCAGTTGTCCTTGTCACTCTGCATTTTGGGTTACCGTATTCTTGTGTGTCCATGGCAGAGCACTAGGAGGGAGGAGGGCTGAACTACTGAAAGGAGAAGCTGGGTTCAGTCATCTCCAGGACCAATTTGGGCCACCCTGAGGATGGGTAGTGAAATACCTTGGTGAGAGGAGAGGACAGGACAGGACAGACACAGAGAGTGTAGAGTATAGAAGCAGCAAGGGGTGGGTGGGGGAAGGAGGTCACAAAGATGGGTGGAGAGGGGGGCAGGCTGTATCCCATCTCCCAGATTCACTAGAAAACTGGGGCAAGTGTGTGCCTGCTGTGCTGTCAGGCTGGCAGCGGAGCTCATGTGCCCAGCTCCTCTGAGGTGCCTCCTCCCCACCTCCGCAGTGAACTGAAGCACCCTCCCTGCACCCGTTCCCTCCCTGATCCAAGAGAGTAGGCACCACCCTGGCCTCTTCTTCCCTTTTCAGATGTGATCCAGAATCCTCCCATCTCCGCATTTGTCAGCTTTCTCTCTCCCTTCCAAACACGCACCTATGCATATAGTCAGGGGCATCCCACCCCTGATATTTTTGCTAGAGGCATTTTGGCTTTCCCTCTTATGAAAACAGCCCCTGCAGTGTGGAAATCAAAATATTTTAGAATTTTAAATACTTTTTTTTTTCTTTCCTTCTCACAGTTGGGACAGTGGAGAGTCAAATCTTGTGAAGAAAAATTGAAATATGTGTGCAAGAAAAAAGGAGAGATTTTGAATGAAACGAAATCAGATAAAAGTTGTTCATTGGAAGAGGTAATAGGAAGTCTTTTTTTGTTTGTTTTTTTGTTTTTTGCTTTCAGTTGGTTCAGAAACCTGCATAAAATCACATTTCCTCTACTTCCCGTTTCCTTCCCGACCATACAGTAACATCTATGGAACACTTTAGCTGAACATTTATAAAGCGTGAGCCAAACTTCAGATTCTCCTAAGCAGGCTCTGGATGTGTTACCATTCTGTTTATTGATGAAAGTATTATGAGCTTGGACCCAGGAGGAGTTGTGTCTGTCTTATTTGTTTAAAAAAAAAAAAAAAGCTTTTATTAGATACATTATTGATAATGCCATTTGTTCTGTGGTTTTTGCTTTAAGTATGTTTTAAAATTTAGGATAAGCACTTTGCTACATAAAGATATGCAGAGATTGATAATTGAGATTAGGTTTCTGTTACACTTCACTGGGCTCTCATTTTTGTTCTTTGACTTAAATAAGGGCGGGGACCGTTTAGGTTGTTTTGGTTTTTTGTTGTTTGGTGGGTTTTTTTCGGTGTAACATGTTACAGCACAAATAAGGCTTGAAAAGGAGTCTTTTCTGTTTTGAACAATCTTGGGATAGTATTACTAGCTACTTCAGAGTTCTTTGGTTCAGTTTTGTGTGGCATGTTGGCTGCAGTAGGAAACATGTTTGCCCTTTATCTTTCTTTCTGCACAACCTCAGGGTATTTTTGCTCTGTCTCTTCAGAGGCTGCCAGCATGTAGAGTTAAAGCTTTCTGTGCTGTTCAGACACCAGTGGCATTGATAGGCTAGCAAAGAGGTAAAACATTTAATGTTCATTGAAAAAGATTTGAATAATAGTGAAATTTTGCAAGTTCATTTTCAGTATATATTTTTTTTTTTTTCAGAAGTAAAGAAACACTGGTAATGCCCTCTTATTATTCCTGTGAATCCTGGCATTGGTGGAACAGCATGACAGCTCCTATTGTTTTGAATAGGACTAGGCTGTCGCCCTTGTGTTTCCCTCTCTGTATGCACATAGCAGTCAGAAGACTCTGCACAGTCAAGCTAAAACAGTGGTGTATTTTATTCTCATGGTTGCATTATTTCTTCCAGCTGTGAATCTGAGAGTTGATGATAGGGGACCTTGTATGTGATGCGCTGCATTTCTTTCTTGTGTATGCTGTGCCAGCTTGTGGGCACCAACCAGTGTTAGCAATGATTTATTTTCTCCTGTAGCTAGTGCCTAAATTAGGTTGTTAGGTATAAACATGTTTTTCATTCTTTAACTAGGGATGGGAGAGACATGGAAACTACTGTTACAAGATTCATAAAACAGAAGTTTCATTTGGAGCACAGTGCAATCTTACAGTGATGAACAGGTAAAGCACATCTCTGTAACTGATGGGCATGTTTTACAGTATATCCTGGAGATACAGTCAGAGATTAAAACTTCCGTATGCTAGTCAGTGCTTTATCAAGAAAAAAAGAGAGGTAAAATTGCTTTTGCAGAGAACTAGCAAACTGTGTTTTCCATGATGTGACAATGGTCAACCTACAGTGTAGAACCTTCTTGGAAGTATGTGAATTCCCAGCCTGCTGACCCCATGTTGAATATGGGGCTGCCTGGACAACCACTTGACCTAACTCATGTAACAATATGCCTGGTTTTAAAATTGTCTCAGTAGTTTCAGATATCTTTCAGATGTTGACTCCAATTAATCTGTGGATTTTCAGATTTGAGCAAGAATTTATAAACAGTCTAATTAGAAAACTTACCAAAGTTGAAGAAAAATACTTCTGGACCGGTTTGCAGGATATTAGCCAATCAGGAATATATTCCTGGGGTACAGTGGATGGAGAAAAAACTGAAGCTGTGACATACACTAACTGGAATTCCTTGCAGCCAGGTAAATTTAACAATTAAAAAAATACGTAAAATTACTATCCTTTTATATTGAGCAAGCATTAAAATACTTAAAATTACTATCCTTTTATATTGAGCAAGCATTGGAGTACCGTGTTACAGAACTCCAAGCATGAAATAAAAGTAATTCAGAAATCTGTGGATTTTTTGGAAAACCAGCCAGTAGTTTTAAATATATCTTTGGTGGCTTAAATCTTAGAGTTTTCAGGAGGATGTGTGGCCATGCCCAGTGGAAAGTCTCTTGGAAAGTGGGAAACTAAGGACTGTAAAACCACTAAAGCATTTTCTATCTGCAAAAAATATATCGGGCTGCCCAAGGAGCCGGAAGTGCTCCCAAAGCCAACTGATCCCTGTCCCCCTGGGTGGCACAATGGATCTGGCCTTGCCTGCTACAAGGTAAAATGTTATTCCTATTAGATGTTAATTGTTCGTTACTGTCTTGCAGCAAGATTAGCCATTTTGTGGCTTATAGCTGCTCTGAAGGGTGCTCCATCCCTGAAGTGTTCAAGACCAGGCTGGATGGAGCCTTGAGCAACCTGGTCTAGTGGGAGGTGTCCCTGCCATGGCAGGGGGGTTGGAACCAGATGATCTTTGAGATCCCTTCCAACCCAAACCATTCAATGATTCTATGTTTTACACTGGGAGGAGGAATTCATGTTGATTCATGTTGACTGGCTCCAGATGTTCTCATGCATCATTCTCTGCTGATTCCTGAAAGATGCAGTGTGCCTCTCCCTGATCTTTCTGTGGGCAGCTCTGGACATCAGAGCTGAGTGGGGCAACAGCATTTGCCCCGTGCTGCCATCTTGGGAGCCTGGTACTGATGGGATGTCAATATCCTAGCCTTCTTGCCATCATCTGGCATGCAGGCACCTGAATAGGGAAGGAAAGCACTTTGCATCGCCTTCCCTTGTCCTTTTCCTTTCTATATTTGAAGAGTGTAGACAGGAGAGGTGGGATTTTCTCTGGTTTGAATATAGATATCAAATATTATTTAAAAAGTGCAGCCTCAGTTGTATTTTACTGTTTTTGAAGTAAGTAGTGGAAGTAAGCAGCCATGCTGTTAGCTGGAACGGCATAAACAAGTTTTAGAAATACAGATTTTTCTCCTCCTGTTAACAGTCAAATCAAGTTAAAACGGAGGCTGTTTATTGGATTGTTTATTCATTATTTCTGGACTCAGTGTCTGCAATGAGCTGTGTCTTGTAAACAGCTCATGTAGCAAAGTGGGCAAACCCAGCTTGAATGACAAGGCTCTGGGCAGGGATCCTGAAGAGATGGGTCTAGCTCATATGCAGCATAGCTGTCCCATAGCTGATGGGATGTGACAGCTGGCCATGGCAGTGTCTCCAAAACTCTTTTTGACCAAGTGCATCATGAGAGATCCAGCTGATGGGAATTGGCTTGGACTGAACTCAAAGAGATCAAGTGGACATGTTAGCTGAGGTGCGTGAGCCAAACATGCAACTCTGATACGTACAGATAGCAAAGGGCGTGCCAAAGAACTTTCTTGAACATTGGGCTTTGCAGTTCACCGTAAATTTGAAAGAACATCCCTTAAAACCTATAATTTGGCTTGCAGTTTTGGAGTGAGTTGGGTGTTGTTTTACCTTTCTGGTAAAACAAAACAAAACAAAACAGAGCAAGTCTGACATATGGAATATGTTGCATTTGAAACAAATGTTATCAGCTAAACTTCAGAGTCTGACTGTTATCAAACAAACTGAAAAAAATAAAATAATTGTTAAGAAGTCAAGCTCTCTCCCTGTGGAAATACCAGTTAGTCATTCCTACCTAGGGTGACCATATTTGAGTAGTACAGGAATGATTTTGAAATGCTGTCACTTGTCTCATTTTCTACTCTTGATGTTTGGCTGTTGTGAAGTTCTTCCACAGTGAAAGAGTGCTGCGAACCAGGACCTGGGAAGAGGCAGAAAGGTTCTGTGAAGCACTCGGAGGCCACCTGCCTAGTTTTAGTCATTCAGAAGAAATCAAGGCGCTTCATTCTATTCTGAGAAAAATAATCAGGTAACAAACTAGCCATGCACTAAAATTTTGATTTCAGTCATGTTCTGCAGTAGATCACAAATGCTGCTGCTGACCCCAAATGGCAAGTATGAGATAGTGTGCAGCGACTGTGTTTCCCACAGTAAAAATGGCTAGATGTGGCATTTGAACTGCTGGTCATGTCACTGCCTTCCTGGAAAATGTCAAGGGAGTACAGCTTGGGCAAATGTTTCACATTGCTAGAGGGAGCACAGGAAAAGAGAGATTTGCTTTGAGCATCTTCCATTGCATGAATTTAGGACTGTGTTATTATAAGTATTTCTTTCTTTATGTCGAGTTTTGGCACAACTAGATGATAGTTCTTCCTCTTCTTTATTAATATATTCTCTAGAGACAAGATACTATTTCAGTTTTTCAGATAGGTCTCATCTTTATTCATGAAATGCTTCCTGACTAAACTGGGTGCTGTTTTTTGAAAATGTGAATAATGTAGTGTCCAGCAGTCTGGTTGGCATGGATCCCATTTGGCATAACTGCAATGACACTGTATGGGCATTAGATGGGTGTGTTGAGTTTTCTGGTATCAACAAATTAAATGCTGCATAATTTATGAGCCCAAGGCTCTATTTTTAATCAAAGGAACTGTCACTGCAAAGCTTTATTAGGCATTGGTGTGATGTCAGATCCTTGTGTAATATGGTCTTTTTGATTGGCAGCCTGGTTTTTCAGAACTTTTGCCAGCTTAAATTCAAATGCTGCCAGTTATATGATCTAAATTTTTTCATCAACAAACTAAATCAGGATTATTTCAGAAGCTGCCAATGTACAACACTGTGATTAAATTTTAAAACTTGATGACTGAAGAGATGCCTTCTTGAAAACCCAGTGAACTTTTTTTAGAAGTGCAGAGGTAATGAAAATTACTCAATGTTTATGTTAATAAGAGACAAAAACAAACTTGTATGCTCTATATATAGATGGTTTAGTTTGTATAAAAGCCACTTGTGATTCCATAGCTAAAGTGACTGAAGTACTTCAAATAAAAATTAGTGCATAAATTATTTTTAGCTATAGACCTTATTTTACTGTTTTGCAATTACAAATTTTGTTCTAGTGTGCCTAATCTACTGTGAAACATGGATAGAAAAATAACTGATTTTATTTTCTTTCAAGTACTTGGAAATACTTTTCAGCTTGCAGACAGCCTGAGGTATTAATTATAGTGAATGACCGTTTTTGGGTAGGAGTTTAAAGGTGGAGACTTTTTCTGTCTTTCCAGAGAATCGGCTAATGCACGATGCTAGTACAGTTCCCATATTTCACAGAATCACAGAATGTTAGGGGT